CACATTCCTTCTACCCTTTTCTGGCTTTAGATAATTTAGGATCTCAACATCTCTCCCTTGGACTATTGGCTTTGCCTCCTAACTGGTCTCCCTACTTCTCCCTGTGTGCCATCTATCATCATTGCTGTCAGAGCTAGTGTTATGAATCAGTAACTGATTATGTCATACTTTGCTCAAAAGCCTTTCATAGTTATCTTTCTGTCTACCAAATCAATTTTAAACTCCTTAGCACAGCACACAAAAATTCCATAAGCTGGTCCCAAGCTGTCTTTCAAACCAATCTCCAGCCTGTTTTTTACTGGCCTACCTTAAATTATAACCATTAAGGCCACTTGCTTTTCCTCAGAAATATTAAGTCACTCCACGCCTCTATTCTTTCATTCATGCTACTTGGAATGCCCACCTCTGGCTTCCCTCTACCTGCTGATACAATATTCTACTTTTCTTAGAAAAACCCAGCAGCCAACCCCCAATCTACTGTTTTCACCCGTATCTCTAGGCTCACAATTTATTACTTGTCCTTCCTGTTTACTTTTCTCTTAAAGATTTACTACAGATTAACTTGTGATCTGGTCATGTGTGTCTGTTTTCCCAGAAAGGACTAAATCTTACACATATTAGTATTTCTAGTGCTTAGAAGGAGCTTGACATAAATGATTAAAATTGAAGTACATTTGTAAACAACCTTGAAGCTGATTTCCAAATCTGAGATTTTCTATGTCTTTTCTATACATGAAAATCTCATTTGAGGCCCTTGCAACTATCATTTAACCTTGGAAATAACTCCTATTTTAAGAGGTTCATTCTGCTTTTACTTCTTAGCGTAGGCTTCAAAACCGAAGAATTCGGGCTCATGGCGATGAGAATCCAGTGAGTGCTATCACAGCATTTCCAGAGGAGGCGAAGTGGAAAACACACAGAGCGCCCTGGAAAACGAGCAGAGCTCCAGGACACCAGGGGCTGATTACGCCAGCGAGACCCTAAAGAAAAGAACAGTACTTGTCCTGGGTTTGGACCTCGGGGCCTCAGCAGATCCTCGGGCTTGCTCAGCAGTTCTGGAGGAGTGAGGTGTGGGCTCGTTTCAGGGAAAGCAGCGCCTTCACTGAGCCAACGTCCACTACAGCGGTGCCCTCCCAGACTCATCCCTCGCATGGCCTCTCGTGCTAGGACTGTGTCTCAGCGTCATTGTCAGAGACAGGAGTCAGGCTCGAAGCCCTAAAGAAACTCCCCACTTGGGGCCGGAATCAAGCTCTACCCATGTCTCCTCATTCCTCCTCCTTCTCTTTGTAAAAACAGCTGAGGAGATAGAATTTTCTCCCCAATTCTGAGGAAACATTGTGTGCTTCTTTGAAGTGATGTTTTTTTCTTTTAGTTTCATTCTTATTACCTTCAAAGCATACAATGTAATCTAGATATGTTCAGAGACTCAAGTTCTCAACCAGTTTCTCAGATGCATAAAATATGGTGGTACTAGCTAACACTCATTTTTTTTTTTTTACAGGCAGAGTGGACAGTGAGAGAGACAGAGAGAAAGGTCTTCCTTTGCCGTTGGTTCACCCTCCAATGGCCACCGCGGCCGGCGCACCGCGCTGATCCGAAGCCAGGAACCAGGTGCTTCTCCTGGTCTCCCATGGGGTGCAGGGCCCAAGGACTTGGGCCATCCTCCACTGCACTCCCTGGCCATAGCAGAGAGCTGGCCTGGAAGAGGGGCAACCGGGATAGAATCCGGCGCCCTGACCGGGACTAGAACCTGGTATGCCGGCGCCGCAGGCGGAGGATTAGCCTAGTGAGCCGCGGTGCCGGCCCTAACACTTATTCTTGATTCCAAATACTTGGACATGTTTCCTCAAAAGCAAAAGGCACTGTGCTGAGAAGAAGGGGGAGGAAGGATGTTTTCTTAACATTTACTGAGTACATACTCTGCCAGGCACTGTGCTATGCATGTCACAGACATGATTTTATTTAAAACTCACAACAACTCTATGTGGTTTACTACTGAATTCTGCATTTTAATGACCAGGTTAAGCAATTTGCCCAAGGTCACATACTTGCTAAATGGCAGAGGCAGAAGATGATCACAGGTCGGATTGCAGTAATGTTACTCTCTGATTGCAGTGCTCTTAATATAAAATGATAGTAGTTAGGGTGATAAAGAGAAGCCCCTTATGTAGACATTCGGACCTCTCGGTAGCACCCCAGAAAGAGAATTACTGTGACTTCAATATGATGATGTCAACTCCTATTGAGCTGTAGGACCTGCCAGCCCTGATCTCAGTGCTGTATCATGAACTCTGAGGAAACCCCCATGTCGGGGCAGGTACTATTATTTTCCTGATGAAGAAACAGAGGCTGAGGAGTCAATGAACATGGGTCGGACAATGGACTGTTGCAGCCTGAGCTTTAAGTCCATGCAAGTCTGCCTTCAGATTCTAAGCTATACTATCTACAGAGAGAATATCTGGAATTAAAAATACCTTGGCCAAAAGTCCAAGCTCTTCCCCTACCAATCAGTTCTCAGCTTCTCCATAGGTAAAATGATTCTACAGCCTTACATGCTGAACAGATATCCCCATATGTGTACTCTACTGCATCTAAATAAGTGAAAGAAATGGCATTTTTCATGGCTTTTGTTGTGGCATAGTGGGTTAAGCCAGCATCCCATGTGGGTGCTGGTTTGAGTTCTAGATACTCCATTTCCAATCCAGCTCCCTGCTAATGTGCCTAGGAAAGCTGTGGAGGATGGGTTAAATGTCTGGACTCCTGCACCCACATGGGACATCCAGATGAAGCTCCTGGCATTGGTCTGGCCCAGCTCTGACTGTTTCAGTCATTTGGTGGGTGAACCATCGGCCACTGGCTGCCATGTGGGTAGTGAACTAGTGGATGGAAGTGCTCTGAGCTTGCTCGCTCTCTCTCTTTCTCTGTAACTCTGCCTTTAAAATAAATAATTAAATCTTTAAAAAAAAAAAAGAACATTTTTTGCAATCAGATCTACTTGGCTCCAAATCTTACATTTACTAGCTGGGTGGTTTTGAATAAGATACCTACAGTTTAAAAGCTTGTTTCAACATCTGAACCATGGAGATTAAAAAAAATGCCTACCTAACCAGGGAGATAAAAAAAAAATACCTACCTAACAGTATGGCTGATGGATCAGAAATTGCTAATGTAATTTTACAATATAGTGCTATAGAAATAAAAGGAGTCCTACATTATAGACTCATAGCTTTGTGGTTATTGATTAAGAAAACAAATTTTTTGAGGCTGGCACTGTGGCATAGTGGGGAAAGCCGCTGCCTGCAGTGCCAGCATCCCATATGGGCACTGGTTCAAGTCCCAGCTGCTCCACTTTCAATCCAGCTCTCTGCTATAGCCTAGGAAAGCAGTAGAAGATGGCTCAAGTCCTTGGGCCCCTGCATCTGTCTGGAAAGACCCAGAGGAAGCTCCTGGCTCCTGGCTCCAGAACGGCTCAGCTCCGGCCGTTGTGGCCAATTGGGGAGTGAACCAGCAGATGGAAGACTCTCTCTCTCTCTGCCTCTCCTTCTCTCTCTGTGTAACTCTGACTTTCAAATAAATAAAAAAAATAGAAAATATATTTTTACATGCTCTGGCAGGCAGGGAGAAAAGCTCCCCTGCTGCTGATCCTCTATATCCTAACCTTGGCATCACTGAGAGAGGCTGGAGAACCTCCTCCTTGGATATGACAGGGCCTACCTTAGGGATGGCTCTCCTGGGGTGGGTGCAGAGAGGATGGGCTGAATGCATTCCACATGCTCATCTCCCCCACATATAGCCTGGTCAGAAGGTGACTGAATGGTTGTGAGTCACCTCTGGTGAATGCAATAAGGGTCCTAACTCTCATCCAATAATGACGCCCCTTTTTTTTTTTTTTTTTTTTTTTTTTTTTGACAGATAGAGTTAGATAGTAAGAGAGAGAGACAGAGACAAATACCCAAATGGCTGCTACAGCTGGCACAACGCCGATCCGAAGCCAGGAGCCAGGTGCCTCTTCCTGGTCTCCCATGTGGATGCAGGGGCCCAAGCACTTGGGCCACCCTCCACTGCCTTCCCAGGCCACAGCATAGAGCTGGACTGGAAGAGGAGCAACTGGGACTAGAACCCCGCACCCACATAGGAAGCCGGCACTGCAGGCAGAGGATTAACCAAGTGAGCCAAGGCGCCAGCCCCAAGACCCCTCTTTTATAGAGGGTTTCTAGGGAAACACACATGCCTTTTAGACACATTTACTTGCATCCAAACCCCCAGGAGTGAGTGAATTTAGGTAAATTTCTTTATCTATCATGCTCCCCTCTGTCGAATGAGAGCTATCATACTGGATGCTTGTGAGGATTAAAAGGAATACTTTATGAATAGGATCTAGCTCAATTTGGGGGATTTAGAATACACTCAACAAATTATAATTTTTTTCTTAGAATAGAACAGTTCAAGGTCAGTATCATTCTGAGATGAAGAAACATCAATGGTATGCCAAGGACAAAGTATGAGGCAAATCTGTATAAAACTTTCTTTGCCTTAATCTCTAAACACTGCAAAAAGGAATCAAAAGAGGCTCTTTCATTACTGAATCTGCATACTACTATAGGCCAAAAACTTGCCTTCTATTTAGGGATCAGGATTTTGTATATTCTACAAGAAAAATAATTTTAATGTACCTATTTACTTTGTATAAATCCATATCATATTATCACATATATTTATTGACATCTTGTCTTGCATGATTTGGATACATATCAGCATTAAAATATTGTAAATATCATGTATTACTGCAGCATACTCATAATACGGGGTTGTACAGATGACAAGAAATCAACTAGTTACCCCCAGATAGGATTTATCCAAATCCAAAGAATAGAAAGGTTTTTGCCTCACTAGTAAGAATGACAGAGGTGAATCACCCCTACTTTGTTAAACCAGGGAAAGGTCATTTTATGCATATATCCACATTGATGATATGGCTGATGGCCAAGGCCAGAACTCACCTTTGCAATAGGGTAAGGAGGCTTTTTGTCTCTCTGCTTTTACTGTGTTCACTTCCATACACAAAGATTTGAATCATCAGACACTGTAGGTAAGGTGGGAAACAATTAGGTTAAAGAGAATCATATAGCCAACAGCTTAATTATAAGCCAAAATCAGAAGAGAATGAGTAAATTGGGATGTCACAAGTTTACACTGTGGATGCCTATACCACACTGCATCGGTTCCCTGCCAAGGAGGAGGAAGGGTCTGCATCAGAGGCTCTTTAGTTACCTTCTGCATCCCTCATGCTGTGTGTGCACTCCAGTTTACCACACCTGGCACTGCCATATGGGCCTGTGGGTAATCATAGTGGCAGGGCTAAAGACTGACAGCATCCCTACTCAAAACACAGCTGCAGTGGCCACTTCCATCAGTATTTTCCAAACAACTGTAACCAAACAGATACAAATGAAATCTGTGTAGGTGTCCCAAAGTTGCACTGTGTTCTCATGCTGTAACACTTTACTCTTATGCAGTTTTCCATTTTAAGTTTTATTGCTGACCTTTGTTTCCAACCAATATGGAATAAAGGGGACCAAATTTACCCTCCACCTGAAACAGCCCAACAAAGAAATGTGTGAAATGACAAAATGCATGAATGACTTTCAAGACACAACATCAGGTGACAGTCTGTGATCCCTGAGAGAGAAACCTGAGATGGCACAGTTGCCCCAGATTACTGATTTGAGAGTGTCTAGGTTGTGGCACATGGAAGGGGGACCGATGGGGCTCACCCAACTCCCTGATAGAGCTGAGAATCCCAGGAGATTCTCAGAGCAGGGCAACAGAGAGATACTTCCACAGAAAAGAACCACAGCTATCTTCAGTGGGTGCCCTCAAATATTCTGCAGAGCACTGATTTGTACGTGCATGTGAGGAAATCGTCCAATGCTGAACCATCTGAAGGGACTACAGAAAACACTTCCTGGTGCATATACAGGGCCAGGTGTAGTACCTGGTCCCACTAGCCACGCTGGAAAGCCTCATTGTTCATGGAGCACTGAGTGGGAAACCCAGAAGGCTCCTGCTTCAGTAATGGAGGGTGATTAGTCTTTAACTAAATGTCTAGCTCCATCTAACAACTCTTAAAAGCTACTGCCACCCCTAGATTCTAAAATTAAGGCGTTACTCTCTCAAGGCTCGAGCCTAGGTATGCACACAACAGCTTTTGTATCACATTCTTTCTCAGCATATCTAAGAAAGCAGAGAAATTTCCAAAGACAACACATGACTTAAAAGCAGAGTGATAAGAGAGAAGGAGGGCAGGGAAGGGAGTGAACACCCACACATCACGTCTCACATTCTGCTTACAAGCCCAGGAGGAAATGCAGCAAACCAGCCAGTATTCACCTTCCTAAGTAGCTGAATTGCCTTTCCGAGCTCCCCTTCGGCAAAGCAGATCCTGGCCATGTTATAAAAAGTCTCAGCCACTTTTTCACTGCAGTCACCATAGCTGGTAACCTGGGACTTCAGTAACGACTTCAGCAGTCTGTAAGCTTCCTGAGGAATTGAAAACAAACTGTTGTACTCAAGCTAGTCATCATGCAGCACACGCTCTGTGGAGAAGGCACTCTGCCCACAATGGCAGGAGCCTCCAGGATCAGTTGTGATGTAGGGCCTACACAATCTGCTTCTGTTGAGTTAAAGTTCTAAGCTTATAGTTAACAATAGTTAATTTAAATGTATTTAACTTCACTGGCTACCCTATAAATCTTATATGTACATCTACAATACCACCTTTCTTATAGATTTGCATGTATGTAGCCAATTCTACTTCTTCGGTCACTTCAATGTTTTCTTTTTTTTCCCCAAAAGAAATCTTTTATTTAAGGAATACAGACTTCATTAATTTCATAAGTACAACTTTAGGAATATAGTGATTCTTCTCACCATACCCACACTCGCACCACACTTCCACCCCTCCTCCTCCCCTCTCTCCCACTCCCAGCCTCATTCTCCACTAAAATCCATTTTCAAGTAACTTTATACACAGGGCCGTTGCAGCCATTTGGGGAGTGAGCCAGTGGATGAAAGACCTCTCTCTCTCTCTCTCTCTCTCTGCCTCTTTTTCTCTCCCTGTGTGACTCTGACTTTCAAATCAATAAATAAATCTTTAAAAAAAAACTTTATACACAGAAGACCAATTCTATACTAAGAGTTCAACAATTTGCACTGAAAAAAAAAAAAAATGTTCCTCAACAGTCAAGACAAGGGCTGTTCAAAGTCATTGCATCTTGAAGTTAATTTCACTGTTTTTTTTAGAAACTTAACTTTGAAGGAGCACCCAAGAATAATATATCTTTTGCATGCACTTAGACATAACTATAACTTATGAGACATAAGAATATCTTCCACTTAATACATTAAAAGAAAGTCCTTGAGAAGGAGTTTTAGCATTAATTAAGAAAGCTTCTAAGGAAACAAGCAATGGAGTTGGACACTTAGGCTTAACTATAACTTATGAGACATAAGAATATCCTCCAGTTAATACACTAAAATGAAATAAATCTTTGAGAAAAAGTTTTACTGTTAACTCTCATAATACGACTCTTTGAGGACAGAGGTCCTGCATGGGAGTGAATAGTGACTCCTGTTGTTCATTTTTTTTTGTTTTGTTTTGACAGGTAGAGTTACAGACAGTGAGAGAGAGAGACAGAGAGAAAGGTCTTCCTTCCGTTGGTTCACTACCCAAATGGCTGCTATGGCCGGCACTGTGCAGATCCAAAGCCAGGACCCAGGTGCTTCTTCCTGGTTTCCCATGCGGGTGCAGGGGCCCAAGCACTTGGGCTATCCTCCACCGCCCTCCCGGGCCACAGCATAGAGCTGGACTGGAAGAGGAGCAACCGGGACTAGAACCCAGCGCCCTAATGGGATGCCAGCACCGCAGGTGGAGGATTAACCAAGTGAGCCACAGTGCCAGCCCCTCCTCTTGTTAATTTAACAATTACCACTCTTATGTATGCCATCAATGATCACCCAAGGCTCTTGACATGAGCTGCTTAGGCTAGAGAAGCCTTTTTAATCCACAAACTCTGTCAGTGTTTAGACAAGGTCATAAGCAAAATGGAAGTTTTCTCTTCCCTTCAGAGAAAAGTACATCCTTCTTTGATGACCACTTTTCCACTGGGGTCTCACCCACTGAGGTGCTCCATGTAGGACAATTTTTTGCCACAGTGTCTTGACTTTCCATGTCTGAAATGCTCTTGTGGGCTTTTTGGCCAGACCAGAATGCCTTAAGGGCTGATTCTGAGGTCAGAGTGCTACTTAAAGCAATTGTCATTCTATGAGTCTGCTGTATGGACTGCTTCCCATGTTGAATGGGAATGTTGGAGCATTCATTCCTTTTTAATTCTATCTATTATTATTACCAAACATTTAATCCTATTTATATGACTGATTTAACACTTAATTCTATCTATATTATCACTTTAACACGATAGTATTTTTAGCACCCAGCTTAAGGGGATTTGGGGTCCCATGGCAAGTTTTTAAACTGTACCCTTAGTAGTAAATCCATAGGAATGTATGCAGAACTGTACAGCTTTGCAGTTACAAATTTCATACACTTCATAATTACAACTTTAGGAACATGGTGATTCTTCCCACCATGCCCTACCCATGCTCCCACCCATACTCCTACTCCTCTTCCTCTTCCCTCTCTTCAATTCAATGTTTTCTAAAAGCCTTAGGAAACATATAGCAGGTGTCTCTTTTCTCTTTGCATTAGTCATTTTAATGAACTACTGGAAAGTGAAAATTCCAGGTAAAAAGATCCTGTTTATTTTTCCTATCTGTAGAAGAATAAATTTCTAATCACATACACACAAAAAATTATATTTTATGGGAACACAATTCTCAAGTCAGAATTCTAAGTTTCCATTATGGTCCCTCAGAGCAGGCCTACAGCCATACATCAGGCTGGGGGTAGTAGAAAGAACTCTTTAAAAATTTGGAAATTGTTATAAAATTCAATTTCATTCAACAATTATTGAGCACCAATTCTTAACTGAATTATTGAGTGCCTGTTATTTCAGTCACCAAGGACACTACAGTAAAACAGACAAAAATTCCTGCCCTCATGGATCATGCTTTCTAATGGTAAAGGTGACCTGTCCAGAGCCCTGCACAGATCCATTCTCATCTTTAACCAGGAGCTTGGTATTCTAGAAGCACGTGGTTAGAAGTAGGAGACCATCAAGTACTGGTGTAGGTGTTTTATCATAAAAAAGTCTTTAGCTGTTCATTGCACTATAGCATAACCAAGATAACCAATAAAATTCTGGCCAAGTGTTTTCACATCTCTGAAAATAAAAATTAAATATTAGATCAGCCATTTTATGGCACTGGGGTCTAATGTTAATTTTCTGAGCCAACAAAAATATCACAGCCAGAGAAAAAATTTTGCAAACCTATCAGTTTTTACTTTTACAAGTGGCAGTTAAAATGTAAATAAAGAAAATTTCAGTTATAAAAGTGTTCAAATATGGTATAAAAGGTTTATTCCTAGAAATAAATTCTTACACATAGCCATACTCTTAAACTCATTGTGACACAGCCAGTGAGACTATGTCCAATTTATCTTTGTTTCTCAGCTGCCTGACGAAGCATACACTGAGTGTGATTAGATCATGTGCGCTCTCAAAGACAAAGGTCTTCACTATGGTCATGCTGCGCTGATTCTAGGAAGTTTGGGTCAAAAGTTTTTGAGTAATGGCTTAGACTTATGGGATGTCAAGGTAAAAAAGTCAGCAATCAATAGAATTTTCTGTAATTTTTAATGTGAAAACAAACTTGAGGTTAATAAAGGACCAACAATCCAAATAAGAGGGAAATATCACTATGAGAAAAAAAAACCTGATAGCTAGATGCAAAGGCAGAAGCCAATTTTGACTTAAAATATTAAATTCAGAAAGCCAGAGCTTGTAAATGTCCAGCATTAAAGTATTTCACACATCCATATACAAGATAAATGTTTCTACAATATTCCAAGTAGCACCAGTCTTGTGTGTTACTTCTAGTTTTTTCCAGAAGTTTTGTTTCTGAGGTGTGAGATGAAAAGGCTGTTCTGATCTAATAAACAAGCCAGCAATTATGTTGTTAATATTTACCTGTTTTTCCCCATTTTGGACAAGCCATTTGCAAAATTCTTCAATGGTGGCCAGTGTTTCAGAATCTTCTGAGCCCAATGTTACTTGATATGCACTAATACTTTTTATAAAATATGTCTCAATAGCATCTGGAACAACAGAAACGACAATTTAAGGCAAGCTGCTAGCCTTCACAAATGTGCTGCATCAGCTATGGCTCAATGGACATTTTCATATTTAAAGTCCATGCCTATTCTCATCCCAATCTCATAAGAACACCTTAAAAGTCCATGAAGTAACTCAATGGGATCAGATGATATTCTGATTTTTATTCTCCTGATGAAATGCACAGAAAAAAATTCTGTCAGAATAACCTTATAATGCTAGGAATACAAATAAATATATTAAACTCCTATTGAACTGTTAAGATTATATTTTTAGATTATATTATTTTTATATTTCTGATTAAGAATACTATTTACTGCAGTTCCTATTTGGTACATGTGTCTGTGCATGTGTGGTATATGGAGGGTGGGGGAAAGAGAGAGGGTAAAGGAGACAAAGAGAGAAAGATCTTGAGAGACAGAGCTGTGATTTTATAAGTACTTTAACTATAAAATTGCTTAAAATTTATTTTTAATGTTCCTTTATTCCAAGCATAATAGATGTTTATGCAGTCGATGTAGAAAATGCACAGAAACAATGAGAAAATCTGCCAATACCACACCATCTGATTACTGCGGCTTTATAATTAAGTTTCACCCAACTCTTTTCTTCTCTTTCAGTGTTGTATTGGTTATTCTGGGTTTTTTGCTGCTCCAAATAAACTCAGAATCAGTTTGCCAATATCCAAAAACCAACCTGATCATATTTTACCGAGTTGAAACTATAGATCAAGTTGTGAAGAACTGACAGCTTGAAAATATGGAGACTTCCTATCCATGAACACAAAATATCTCAGTTCATTCAATGCTGCTTTGATTTCTTTCATCAGTTTTGTAGCTTTTCTCATATAAATTTTACAGATTTTATTAGATTTATACCTAATTATTTCACATCTTCTTTAAATGGTATTTTGTTTTCAATTTCAAATTTCACTTGTTCTCTACTGGTAATTAGGGAAGTGACTGATTTTTGTATATTAAGCTAGTATATTGTATCCTTTCTATACTCAGTTCCAAAAGATTTTATTTTTTTTGTTTGTCGGTTCTTTCAGATTTTCTGATAGACAAAGGTGTCACCTGCAAGCAAAAACAGTTTTATTTTTTCCTTCACAAAGAGTATACCATCTGTTTCCTTATCTTATTGTATTGGCCAGCACTCCCACTATAACGTTGAAAAGTAATGGTTAAATGGGATATCTTTGCCTTGTTCCTGATCTTAATGGGAAAGCTTCTAGTTTTCCAGAATTAAGAAAAATGATGCTAGCTGTAGGGTTTTATTTTCCATTTTTAGAAGTACTTTAAAAAGAAAAGGGGAGGGGCCAATGCCGTGGTTCACTTGGTTTGATCCTCCGTCTGTGGCACTGGCATCCCATATGGGCGCCGGGTTCTAGTCCCAGTTGCTCCTCTTCCAGTCCAGCTCTCTGCTGTGGCCCGGGAGGGCAGTGGAGGATGGCCCAAGTGCTTGGACCTCTGCACCCGCATGGGAGACCAGGAAGAAGCACCTGGGTCCTGGCTTCGGATTGGTGCAGTGCTGGCTATAGCGGCCATTTGGGTAGTGAACCAACGGAAGGAAGACGTTTCTGTCTGTCTCTCTCTTTCTCACTGTCTTATAACTCTACCTGTCAAAAAAATTTTTAAAAAAGAAAAGGGGATTAGTTAGGTCACAGTTTTGGGGGCTGAAAATTCACAGTATGGAACTGGTCTGGTTAGGACTTCCCTGGTCTTACCACTGATGACAGATAGCATCATGGTGAGAGCAGAGACAGAGAGATCACATGGTGACACAGCAAATCAAAGAGCAGGGAGGAGCCAGTCTGGCTCTCTTATAACCACCCTCTCCAGAGAACTATAAGAATTCCTTCCACGGGCAGTGATCTAACTGCTCCTGGTAGGCCCCACATCTCAAAGGCACCACCATCTCTCAATCGTCTGCCCAGTGGGAACCAAGCTTCCAGCACCTGAAACTGGGGGGTGGGGGACATCCTCAAACCACATCAAAACCATAGCAGTGGTTTATCAGGAGGAGGAAGTCTTTCCTCATGACTGAGACGTAGACTCTGTCATGTGCTATTTCTGCACTGATTCATGTGATTCATGTGATCCTTTTTCTTTAGCCTGTTAGTATGGTGCATTAATTGATTTTCAAATGTTGAAGTAGCCTTGCATATCTGGGATAAATTGTACTTGGTTGTGGTATATAATTTATTTTATACATGATGGATTCAACTTGCTAATGTTTTGTTGAGAATTTCTGCATATAGGAGATACTGTTTTTTCACAACCTCAACTAAAATACCCAAGAAGAGCTTCTTTGAGAAAGAAAAGATTCATTTTAGCTTACATTTTGAGATTATAGTTCAGGATCAGTTGGCCCCACATTCCAGTGTCTGTGGAGGCTGCTCATGACAGGTGCAGAGACACGATCACGTGGTGAGCCAGGAAAGCAGACAGAGGGAGAGCCAGGCTGAGAAGACCTTCTCGCAAAAACCACCTTCAAAGGGCATATCTCCAATGACCATAAGAACTCCACCAGCCCCACTGCCTAGCCACCACAATTAGATCAAAATCTCTAAACCAAGTCCATCAGCCAGACACCAGAGTGTAAACATCTGCATGTTCTTTAGGTAGAGAAATCCTAATGTACCCATAACAAGCACTATCTGTCTGATTTTGGTTTTAGGACAATGCTGGCCTCAGAATGAGTTAGGAAGTGTTCTCTCAACTTCTATCTTCTGAAAGAGATTATAGAAAATTTGGCCTATTTTCCTCCTTAAATACTAAGCAGAATTCAGCAGTAAGCCCATCTGGGTCTGATGCTTTCCATTTGATATATTTATTAACTATTATTTCAACTTATTTAATAGACATAAATCTATTCAACGCCAGTTTCTTTTTTTTTTAAAGATTTATTTATTCATTTGAAGGTCAGAGTTACACAATGAGAGGAGAGGTAGAGAGAGAGAGGGAGAGAGAGAGAGAGAGAGAGAGAGAGAGGTCTTCCACCCACTAGTTCACTCCCCAATTGGCCGCAATGGCCGGAGCTGAGCCAATCTGAAGCCAAAAGCCAGGAGCCTCTTCCGGGTCTCCCACGAGGGTGCAGGGGCCCAAGGACTTGGGCCATCTTGTACTGCTTTCCCAGGCCATACCAGAGAGCTGGATCAGAAGTGGAGCAGCTGGGTCTCAAACCGGTGCCCATATGGGATGCCAGCACTTGCAGGCCACAGCTTTAACCCATTTCACCACAGCGCCGGCGCCAGCTATAGGGTTTTTGTACATGCCCCATAACCCCATTTTAAAAATCATATTGAGAAAGTTCAATCATGAGTGCATGTTGGATTTTGTAAATGCTTTATGTACACCAGTTGATAAGATCTTGTGCTTTTCATCCTTAGACTATTAATACGGTAAAGTACAAGGATCCAAATTTGACTATTTAACCAGACTGCTATTTTCAGGGGAAAAAAGCCTCATTTGATCATAGTGTAATATTATTTTTATATATTCCCACATATTTTGTCAAGGATCTTTTTTGTCTATGTACATGAAGGTATTTATCTGTAGCTATTTTTATTTTTTGTTTTATTTTCTGGAAGATATTCTGTAGAATTGGTGTTATTCTTTCTTTAAATGTTACGTGGGAATTCCATGATGAAACTATCTGGACCTGGAAAGAAAACTACAAATTCATCTTTTAAAGAATAGTTAAGCCTCTCTTCAGATTATTCTCTCATTCTGGATGAGTTACTTGTTTTTTAATTTTTTCTTTGTGACTCAGTTTTAGATCATTATGTAATTAACACTGTGAACCTCTTTTATGTTATATCTTTATGTGTGTTTAGAAATTCTTGTTTTATCTATTTTTTAACTTCAGTAATTTTTTTTCATTTATTTGACAGGTAGAGTTATAGACAGTAAGAGAGAGAGACAGAGAGAAAGGTCTTCCTTCTGTTGGTTCACCCCCCCCAAATGGCCGCTATGGCCAGCGCACTGCGCCGATCCAAAGCCAGATGCTTCTTCCTGGTCTCCCATGTGGGTGCAGGGCCCAAGCACTTGGGTCATCCTCCACTGCCCTCCCGGGGCCACAGCAGAGAGCTGGATTGGAAGAGGGGCAGCCGGGACTAGAACTCGGCGCCCATATGGGATGCTGGCACCACAGGTGGAGGATTAGCCAAATGAGCCACAGAGCCAGCCCTTAACTTCAGTACTTTTTATTCCAGAACTGTATTTTCATCTGGCTACCTTATATTTTAAGTTTTAATATATAAGATGTTAATCCATCTGGAATTTAGTTTAATAATGATATGATTTTAAGATCTATATTTTCTTTAAAAATCAGTATAAGGTGCTGGCGCTGTGGCACAGCGGGTTAAAGCCCCAGCTTTCAACACCAGCATCCTATTCGGGTGCCAGTTCAAGTCCCAGCTGCTCCACTTCCAATCCAGCTCTCTGCTGTGGCCTGGGAAAACAGTAGAAGATGGCCCAAGTCCTTGGGCCCCTGCATCCACGTGGAAGACCTGAAGAAGATCCTAGTTCTTGGCTTCAGATTGGCTCAGCTCCAGCCATTGCAGCCGTTGGGGGAGTGAATTAGCAGATGGAAGACCTCTCTCTCTCTCTCTCTCTCTAACTCTGTCTTTCAAAAAAACAAATCTTTTTTTAAAAAAAATAGTATAAGAAAAACTTAAGTGCTTTAGATTCTCCCAGCTCTGGCTTATTTTCATAAATTAAAAAAAGTTAGGGGCAGGTGTTTGGCATAGCAGTTAAGACATTGTGCAAGTTACCCACATCCTATATAGGAGTTGTGGTTTTGAGTCCTGGCTAATCCTAATTCCATCTTCCTTCTAATGCGCTTCCTGAAAGTCAGCAATAATGGCCCAAGGAGTGGAAATCCTGCCACCTGAATCAGAGACCTGGGTTAAGTTCCTGATTCCCGGCTTCAGTTTGGTTTGGCCCAGCCCTGGTTATTGTGGGCATTTCAGAAGTGAATCAACAGATGGGAGATCTCTCTCTGTCGGCTCCTCTCTCTGCCTTTCTACCTTTCAAATAAATAGAATAAAATTTAAAAATTCTCAAGGTAAACATTTTACATATTTACAAACATTAAATTTCTTGTGTCCACTCTAGGTATAGTATCTATACTTTGAGTATGCACAAGGAAATTTTCTTTATTTGCTTATTTATTTATTTTATTTGAAAGGCAGAGAAACAGGGTGAGATTTCCATCTACTGGTCCACTCCCCAAATGCTCACAGTAGCCAGAGCTGGGTCAAGCAAAAGCTAGAAGCCAGGAACTCAATCTGGGTCTCCCACATGAATGGCCAAATACTTGAGCCATCACCTGTTTCCTCCAGGGTGCACATTAGCAGGAGGCTGGATGGAAGCAGAACAGTCTTAAACCAGGCACTCCAATATGGAATTCACATGTCCCAAACAGACACTTAAGCTGCTTTGCCAAATGCATGTAGCCCACAAGAGAAAATTTTAAGAGAAGAAAATTTGCTAATAAACACAAAATCAGGAAGTCTTCAATTCACCTTTATGCATCATAAACCAATACTTAAAATATTAAAACTTCAAATATTTATTTAGTGACATGGGGAATGCAAGAGTAGAATAAATAAGATGCAAGATTTTCTCTATACTCCTACCTCCCAAATTGGAAAATAATATACCAAAATGGATTACTTTTATAAGCAGAGAAAAGAAACATTTTTTAAATGTTCAAATTACATTCTTCACAAATCCCTTAACAGGCCTCTGATTCCATGTGTCAATTAATCTGATCAAGCCAGTTGAGAATGACACTCTGTCTTCCCTCATTGGTTGTTTGTGTCTCCCTAAAAGCTGCCCACTTTCAAACAGATGACCTTGACAAAGAGCCATCATTGATGGATTAATCACCCGGTTTTCCTTTTGAAACCCCGGTACCTCACTTTTGAATCTAGGTCAAAAAAATTCTAAATGCCTCAAACATTCTCTCCTAAAAGCCAGAGCAAAAGGGTCAAGAAGATTGAGAATGGAGGAGGAGTACAGGAGGAGCCAATGTTGTTCTCTTTTATAATTGGATTTCCTCATTTACCAGTACTTCATAGGTCACATTCATAGTGTATATAATTTCTACTCCTTATCAAGGAAATAAAGGAAATAGAAATCACATGATTTTATAGGTTTGATGGTCCAACTAACTGGGGAAGTGGATATGACCTGATCTAAATTCATGTGTAATTGATTCTGTATGAAATCATGACCAGCCTAATCTTGGCATCACAGGCACAAATAGCTAATTCTAACCTTACTGTAGAAAGATCATTTGCTAATACGCTTCCCACACGTGGTCAGGCAATGATGATGACTACATGGCTGCCTCTTTTACTTACCCTTGTGCTGGGGCTCTCCGGACATGGCATAAGCTCTGGCTAGTAAAGCATTAGCCTCTGCAGTTTGGGGGCTGACTTCAGTGAACGAAGAAACACAAATAGAATGGGCCTGGAAGACAGAAAATCATGACAAACTAAGTACCCAAATTACTGCAAATTTTCTGTAAGTTCTCATAGAATTTCTGGTTGATACAAAGCCAATAGATAGCCAGTCATGGAGTTAGAGGAGAGATGAGTTGGAGTCCCAGCTCTTCCACTTCATGCTATGAGTCTTGAACAAGTAATTTCATCTGCATGCATTAAAGGACTTCATGTGCTTCCCAGCGACTAGGGTTTGGTAAAATTAGATGAGATGGTGTTTGCAACCCACTAAGCACAGTACCCATCACATGGGAAGTTGTCAGTAAATGTTAGCTCAAATAATGTATTTGATAAATAAAATAAACTGTTTTATAAGTTTTCACAGCAAAAATAAAATTACATGAAAGTATCAAAGGCAGTTTAATAAAGCATGGATCTAGAGTCACCCTGCCTGAGTTCCTAGCACAGCCAGCCACTTACTGTGACATAATTCAGATTACCTGCCCTCTTCAAATGTAAAACAAGGATGGCAAAAATAGTATTTTTCATAAACAGTTGTTGTAAATAGTAAATGAATTACTAGATGTAAAGTGCTTATAACACCATCTGACATATAATAAGCAGAAAAGAAGTATCATTTTTATTATTATTGTTATTATTATTACTATTTGTGCTAAAATGGAAGGAATAACATTCAGGAAAGAGAAAGAAGGAAAAATCTAGTATATACATCCACCAAGAAGGAAACAACCACCTGTGCTAATATTTCATAGGCCAGACACTATGAACCTTTTTTTTTTTCTTTTGTTGACAGGCAGAGTGGACAGTGAGAGAGAGAGAGACAGAGAGAAAGGTCTTCCTTTTGCCATTGGTTCACCCTCCAATGGCTGCCGCGGCCAGCGCACTACAGCCGGCGCACCGCGCTGATCCGAAGCCAGGAGCCAGGTGTTTCTCCTGGTCTCCCATGAGGGTGCAGGGCCCAAGAGTCCACTGCACTCCCTGGCCACAGCAGAGAGCTGGCCTGGAAGAGGGGCAACCGGGACAGAATCCGGCGCCCCGACCGGGACTAGAACCTGGTGTGCCGGCACCGCAAGGGGGAGGATTAGCCTAGTGAGCCCCGGCGCCAACAAACCTTTTTAATAAAGTAAAGGGATCACTGGACTTGCAGCTTACATATCAGGCAGAGTCCTTATGAGTATAGGCTCTCTGGTCAAATTTTCAGAGTTCAAATCCCTCCTTTAACACTTGCTAGCTACACAACTTCAATTGAGTTAGCTACTCTTCTTTGTGTTTCACTTTTATCCTTAAAATGACATAAAATAATAATGGTGCCCATGTCATAGGACTATTATATGGATAAATGAATTAATAATATGCTCAAGTACATGTATTAAACACATTCCTTAAATATGAACTCTCACTGTAGGCTACACCTCCGCCTGCAGTGCCAGCATCCCATATGGACACTGCTTCAAGTCCTGGCTGCTCTTCTTCTGATCTAGCTCTCTGCTATGGCCTAGGAAAGCAGTAGAAGATGGCCCAAGTGCTTGGGCCTCTGCATCCACATGGGGGACCAGGAAGAAGCTCCTGGTTCCTGGCTTTGGATCGGCCCAGCTCCGGCTGCTGCGGTCATTTTGGGAGTGAACCAGCAGATGATAGACCTTTCTCTCTGTTTCTCCTTCTCTCCATCTGTAACTCTACCTCTCAAATAAATAAATAAATTTTTTTTTTTAAAAATGAACTCTCACTTTTTAGTGGTGGTGGGAATCACTGACATTTATTCTTTTATCCATCCTGATCTGACCACTGCCCTAAGAAAGTCTTGAACACAAAAACTGCACTGGCTCCCTCTGTAAGCAGTGGGCTCCCTGACTTCAGGGCCGCATTCCCAAATGCTTCCCAGTTGCACGATGTTCATAACCCTGGACTGTCCACTTGTTTGCAGTGCCTTTTCTTCAGCATCTGACTGCTTTACGTATTGCACTTTTCTATGGTACAGAAAATCCAGCATTTTCCTCTGTGTATGCTGGAGGTTAGGCACAGCAGCATTCTCATTTGGAAGACAAAAAAGGTAAATTTAACTAACAGTTTCAAGTACATGAGACATAAAAGTGCCCTAAACTGTTCTCATATGATAGACTCAACATTCCTTCTGTGTTTTGATTCAGTTTCCCTTGGGCATTTGTCAAGTTAGTTACCTCCAAGGGAAACATCATTGTGTTAGTTTAACCTTAACCTTGGACATACAACCAGCTAGACGAGCTTAATGGATAAATGACAGCATTATACCAAAATACCATGATCTTTCATTTAAAAGATCCTTTGTGTTTGTGGAAGACTTCAGTTGCTTTTCGTCTTGGAGCAGACTCATCCCCAACCTCCTCTTCCCAGCACCTAGAGATGAGCGAGCAGCCTGGAAGAGGAAGCACCATCTGTAGGTCGGGTCACACAGCAACTACACCTGCCCACCTGAGTCACTTTCTCTGCCTAGGTCACTGACGGTTGATGAAAGGCTCTTGCCTGAATCTGGAGGGAAGTCAGGGTTAAAATGGAATCAATCCCCGCTGTGTTCTTTGAGAGGCCCAAGCTTCCTTGACCCTAGAGAGAAACAAGGCCACCCAACCTGGACTCTGGCCAACCCACCAACCTGCTTCAGGTACTGGATGGCCTTGTCATGGTTCCTCCTCAGCTGTTCAATCTGAGCTATTTCCTCATACAGGCTGATCAGATCTGATGTGCCATCACCCTTGGCAGCAATCACGTTGCCAATTGCTTTCTCAAAGTATGCCAAAGCTAGGTTCAGCCTGTGGATGGCCAAGGAGGCTCTACAGAAAAACAAATGAAGGTGAAAAGTCAAAGAGAGGTCACTAACTTTGCAGACACATATGGAATTGATTCTAAGAACTAAAGAATTTGGCCCTCCTAGGCAAATCATTTGTGTGGTTGGCTCAAAATTCAGCCTTGCTGTAAAAAACACTCTTATTTTGCATCTTGCCCGGCAGATTCAACTACCATTCATTAAACCCATTAATATGCCATGCTGTCTTCTAATTTTACAGAAAAGCAAATGGAAAAAATGACTTCTAGCAATTCACAAAATGAGATAATTTACCAATAAACACAGACTTCCTAAAATAGAGTAAAAGTTTATTACCTCTGGTTCCAGCTCTTTCAGGCCAAATAAAGTTTTTGCTTTGTTTGATTTTGTTTAGCTTGGTTTATTCCTCCTCAGTTAAAAATGACAGAGGACAGAGAAAACAATGTAAATATCTCCCAGAGGAGTGGTTAAATAAACTATGCACATCATACAATAAATTCGTCACATAACCATGTTTTCCTGTTAGGTTAACAATTTAGGGAGATGTTCAAAATACGTTAAGTTAAAAAAGCAAGATATAAAACTAGACTCATATAAAATGTGATCCAGATATATGTATATGAGCAGATATGACACACACGTATGGGTACTTCAAAAAGTTTACGGACAAATCAAGTTAAAAGATAAGTTTATTTTGGTGCAAAAATTGAAATGCATACATATTTCATAATATATATTTCCATAAATTTTTGAAGACCTCCTTGTCTATACAATTTCAAAATATTTTGTATCAAAATAAGTTTATCTTTTATTCCATTTTCCATGAACTTTTGAAGTACTCTTATATACACGTATCTTCACAATGTTCATAGCACTTATGTCTGGGAGGTGGTATTATAATTAACTTTTATTCTCTTTTTCACATCATTCTTTTCAGATTTCCCACAATGAAACTGGGAATATAATTCTTTAAAATGATAATACAACATCTCACTTAGGTTTATCTTTCCAGGGAAAGCAGTTACAATGAGAATACAGGTAGCTGAAAGCTGGTTCTGACAGTTATTAGTTTTATCAAATCCCAGAATCATATAATTTGTTCCAAATAAAGCAGGAATAAGTATATCTAAATTACCAGATACTATATGAACTAAATATAAAAATAATTTTTTTGTTCTATCAGATCACCATTTCCCTTGACCACAAGAGCAGAAGTTATTATAATGGCTCTAATTAAAGAGCCTGTAGGGCAATACTAACAAGTTGTCTGGCCTCAACAATATTGCCTTAGTTTCCCAGCCCTTAAAATGAAACAGGTATTTGGCCTTATGAGACATCTGATCAATAGTAAACACAACTCAGTGTAGTACAGAAGGTGAGTAATGATTTCAGATGCCCCAGTTACAATCCTGGCTCTTCCAACAGACTTGAGTTAACCTTTCTGTTAACTTGAAAGTTAAAAATCTGAAAGTAATAGCCGGCACCATGGCTCACTAGGCTAATCCTCCGCCTTGCAGTGCCGGCACACTGGGTTCTAGTCCTGGTCAGGGCGCCGGATTCTGTCCCGGTTGCCCCTCTTCCAGGCCAGCTCTCTGCTATAGCCCAGGAGTACAGTGGAGGATGGCCCAAGTGCTTGGGCCCTGCACCCCATGGGAGACCAGGAAGAAGCACCTGGCTCCTGGCTTCGGATCAGCGCAGTGCGCCGTCCGCAGCACGCCAGCCGCGGGGGCCATTGGAGGGTGAACCAATGGCAAAGGAAGACCTTTCTCTCTGTCTCTCTCTCTCTCACTGTCCACTCTGCCTGTCAAAAAAAAAAAAAAAAAAAAAAGTCTGAAAGTCATAAAAAGATCTATCCTCATGAACTTTCTAAGAATTGAGTAAAATTATGTAAAGCATACAGTGTCTAGCATAGTTAGACTTAGTAAGAATTCTAACATTTAAAACAGTTCACGCACAAAATACTCAATAATTACCATGAAATGAATAAGCCAAATGAGTACCAGAACACAGCATGAAAAATGAACAAGACCATCTTTCACATAAGGCAGAAAAACTGCAGCCACTGCCTTTGTGACGGCAGTACACATTCAGCAGATACTAATTTATGGCCCTATAGATGAGAAACAATTGTTTGACTTAGTTCTGGACATTCCAACATCTCCCCACCATTTCCCATTTGACTTCTAGATTCATGGTTGTTTACAGGAGGCAGACGGGCTACATGTATTTCATTTATTTACTGTTCAGTTATCTGCCCTATTGTGCCAAGTGCTTACAGCTTTGGAAACAGATTACATTCAATGATGTGAAGATATCTGAAAAATCTAGGGAACAGTAAACTCTTTATTATTTTTTTTTCTGGTAATCTGATGGGCCCACTCTCATTTCCAAATATGCTGATTCTCAGAGGATCCCTAAATCAATTGCAAAACAGTTAAGTCTTATGCTGGCTTGAACACATTCCATGAATTTTGTTTCCATATGGAACAGAATTTACTTAAAAATGCATGTGCTATACATAGTTTTCATGGCTTCCAATTAATTATCTTCATTAAATGTTCCCTCCTCATTTGTTAAGACGTTACACTTAGCAACAGAAATAAATGAGAATTCAGAAAAAAAATTTAATCCTAGAAGAAGTGGAAAAGGCAGGATGACGAAGAGCTAAGAGTTCATGAGTTCAGATCATGGTTCTAACGCTTGTGAGCTAGGTAACCTTGGACAATTTGTTTAACCTCAGCCTCAGTCTCCTTGTCCTTTCTCCAATGACTTCATAATCAAGCCAATTATCTTTATAGCGGTTGTGAGGGTTAAATGAGGCAGTGCACACTAAGTTGAGAACACAACATACACACTTGGTAAATATGAGCCTCTTTTATTACCACTTGAGTTTCTGGGTTTTGGACCCTGAATTTTTTTTTCCTTTTATATACAGCACCAACATCATGTATCTCTAGGCCTCATTCATAAAAGCCTCTCTAAGTCCAGATCTTACCTGCCCAAAGCAATTGTTAGGTCTTTCTCTGAGACTTGTAATTCACAAACACTTCCCTTACATAATTCTTTCAGCTCCTTCATGTTTCTCTCTGCCTTCTGCAGGTTGAAATAGGCCTCTCTGCCGGTGAAAAAGTCAAGAAAACAGCAATACACACACACAAGCCAACTGCCAATGAGCAGGGGCAGGAGTTGATAAGCAAACAAAAGGGCCTCTTGGGAAAACCAGGCAATATTTGAAAAATGGGTACTTAACTATATTCTATGTTCTCTCTATATATATGTTGTCAAGAAGGAAGAATTCTTTAGAAAAGGAAGAGGGCCTTGGTTTTCTGTGGCAGCTCCCTGAAGTCTGCGCTGGAGGGGGTGGTGAGGGTTTCCAGGAGTGAACGGAAACTGTAAATTATACTAGACTTCCTTTAGAGGCATCTACTTTGTAACAAGTTACTCATTTTTCCGGAGTTCGTTCATTGGAATGGTAAAAGAGAGGAACTAATTATGCTGAAAGGGACTTTCTGGGTTATTTAAGAAGTCCAAGCAAAGCAATATTTTGGCCAGCAGCAAATAGCTAGAAAGAAAATCCCCGTAATTCCCAAATATTCTTCTATTTCCCACATTTTTAACTAATTTTCCCATTAAGGGTATAACAGAAGAAGGCCACAAATCAGATTGTCCAAGTTGAACAATAGGACCAAAAATAGAGATGGGGGGATGCATAGAGAGGAGAGCCTGGGGGGGGGGGTGCAAAGAGAGGAGAGCCTGGGGGGGGGATGCATAGAGAGGACAGCCTGGGTGGGGATGCATAGAAAGGAGAGCCTGGGGGGGGTGCATAGAGATGAGAGCTGGGGGCGGTGCATAGAGAGGAGAGCCTGGAGGGGATGCATAGAGAGGAGAGCCTGGGAGGTGGGGGATGCATAGAGAGGAGAGGGTGGGGATGCATAGAGGGGAGAGCCTGGGTGGGGGGTGCATAGAGAGGAGAGCCTGGGGGATGCATAGAGAGGAGAGCCTGGGGAATACCTGGGCTCATGATTGTTTGTGAACAAGAAATGCCCTTCACACCTTTCAAGGTGGGACCATATCAAAAGGCTGCCAAAAATCACAGCTTTTTAAAGAGAGGCACCTATAACAGTCCACTCTGGGGATGCAGAGAACTACTCCTTTTGTCCATTTCAATTGGCCTCCATCATCATGGGCTGTGTTCACAACGTTATTTCAAAAAACTAAAATGATTGAGAATTCATTGAATCTGTGGTTTATGGTATACATTTATAAGCACCTGAGGGGCTTTTTAATATTTTAACAGATGTACCCCCACACCCACTGAGACAAAATTTCTGGGGTGGGACCCAGATATCTAATTCTTCCAACTTCCCAGGGGACTGCAGTACACAGTCTAGCTTGCCAGACTGTACTTTAAGTTACCACCCATTCTCTCCATTCCTATGCCACCACCACCCCCGCACACATATTCTTATTTTCTTGGGTGCTCAGTAAAGAAGAGGATAGACTCAGAAAACCTTCAACTGGGTAAAGGATGCTTCACTCATGAGAGCCTTCCCATGGCTCACTTCAGAGCTTACACAAACAGATGCAGGACGAAGATTCATACCTTTACAGGTGGAGACAAGAGGGCTGCGGAGGGCCTGGATGTTGGAACAGCTGCAAAGCCTTGCTTCCATTACTCACCTTTCTATGGTGAAAGAACCCACCTGGCGTGGGTGCCCTGTGGCCTCTGTCACCAGACCCAGCTGGGAAGATAAGGATATTGGTTCTGGAGGAGCCAAGCCACCCCCACAGTATAGTAGAGCATGACCAGGGCATCCAGGATTTCCTTTTTCTCCTTTTCTGAGGTCGTGTTCCCCTTCCAGGTCAAGAGTGTGGTCTTGGCAGACTCAGCATGTTTCTTGGCCTGAGCTGGGAGGCCTGAAAGAGAATAGAAGGCAAAAAGACAGACATTAAAAAGGCACACTTCAGGCAAAGATGGCATGAAGTGGGCAGTGTAGCCATCATACGGTCTTTACTATTGGTTCCAAAATCTGACCATGCATCAGTATTATGTAGAATACTTATAAAGAATACAGTTTTTTTTTTTTTTTTTTTGACAGGCAGAGTGGACAGTGAGAGAGAGAGACAGAGAGAAAGGCCTTCCTTTGCTATTGGTTCACCCTCCAATGGCCGCCGCGGCCGGCGTGCCACGCTGATCCGATGGTAGGAGCCAGGTATTTATCCTAGTGTCCCATGGGGTGCAGGGCCCAAGTACTCGGGCCATCCTCCACTGCACTCCCTGGCCACAGCAGAGAGCTGGCCTGGAAGAGGGGCAACCAGGACAGAATCTGGCGCCCTGACCAGGACTAGAACCCGGTGTGCCGACGCCGCAAGGCGGAGGATTAGCCTAGTGAGCCGCGGCGCCAGCAAGAATACAGTTTTCTATCCACACACAGAGTTGGACTTTCTAAAGAAATGGGGTCCAGAAATCTCTTCTTTTAACAAATTACACAAGTAGTTCTTATCATTCCCCCTAACCCCGTCATTAATCTGTGGACCTCACTTTTGAAATTACTACTAGAAACAGGAGGGGAAACTTCGCATACAACTCCCAATTCTTCCACTAGCGCCATGTGACCTTTTTAACCTTCAAAGATTCTCCATTCTCCAAATATCAAATGACAACAATAATTATAGGAGCTGCCCTGTACCAAAACACATGGAGATCCTCCAGGAACAAGCTAATTTCTGCTATAGACTGCTGTGCCTTGAGCTTTCTGGAAAGGAATTCTATAAATATAAGAGTTTATGAATTCAATTACTTCCATCTGGGGGTTATTTTTTCAGTCCAAGATGAAGCTGGTGATAACTGGTCATACACACAGATACATACACACATGCATACACGTGCATGCAATCCAATTTCTAAATGTAGTGAGGTTCCTTATTAAAAAGACAAAGGGATTGCCCAAGTCCAGCCAGACAGAACTGGTGGGTTTTTCTCTTTGTTTTCTAACTACAGCCTGGTGTTTCTGGCACTTATTTGAGCTGCTATTCGCCCGGTTAACAGAGATAGACTTGGGAACATTCAGTATACGGGCCTACTCCTACAACCCAGTTCATGTCTTTTCTTTTCCCGATGAAAGGGGAAGCCCTGGGGAAAAAGAGAAAGGCCACAGAGAACCGACTACCCTCATTCTCCTCCGTGCTACTGAAGCAAATATGGCTGGCATTCACTTCCAGGCCTGTCACTGCAGGACACTTAAGGGCAGGTGAACATATCCCCCCACTGCCTGGTAGGTCTGCTGAGCTCCTAATCCTCACACCCGCAGCCCAGGTCCTACCTAACTTGCTCTGCCGGTGGCCCCTGGAGCCTTGTTCCAGCATGGTCACAAGTCAGTGGCAACAGAGCTGATTTGAAAAACTTGCCAGTGTCGCCTGCAGCCCTCACGTGCTCTAAATGTGCAGATCTCCATAATGGGCTACAAGAATGAAAGGGAACGAAGTCGCCTCTGGGAGGGCTCTAGAAGTGGTCTCAAAGCCAAGAAGTGTCTGCAGAACACTCAGACATATCTGTTCCTTAAGTCTCAAGAGAACAACAGACGTGTAGATAAAAAGAGGGCTGTATCCTAAGTTACCCAGTAACAGTGGCCCTCAGACTGTACTGTCCATCACAAGCACCCTGTAAAAATGCAGGTGTCTGGGCTCACTTTCAGTAGTTACAGTTTACAAGTTCTGAAGTGAGAATCAAGAATTCAGAGTTAGAATAAGCAACAGGGTCTCAGGTGGTAAGCAATTCACATTGATAACTATTCAGGGTGATATTCATGCAAAGTCGCCTGAGGACCAGAGAGCTGAGTAGGAAAATCTTTAGAGAGGACATGGCATCCATCTTGCTTTTGAACACTGCATAGGATTTTCACTGGTGGAGAAAAGGAGGAGTGTCTGCTTGGAGTAAACAGCCTGGGGTCATAAAACCAGGAGAATGAGGTGTGTGCCTGTGTGTGTCTGTATACACACGCACGTTAGGTCATGAAATTGAGGGGCTGCAGGAGTGTTCGGGAAGCTGGTAAGAAGACCAACCTGACTGAAAGGGAAGTGTGAATTGAAATATTATTAGGTATGGATTGGAAATGTAGAATGAAGTCTTGGATGCTACCTTAATCCTATCGTGATACTACAATGCAACACCAGACACTAGGTTATCTATTTCTTTCTTTCTTTTTTTTTTTTTTTTTTTTTTTTTTTTTTGACAGGCAGAGTGGACAGTGAGAGAGAGAGACAGAGAGAAAGGTCTTCCTTTGCCGTTGGTTCACCCTCCAATGGCCGCTGCAGCCGGCGCACTGTGCTGATCCAATGGCAGGAGCCAGGTACTTATCCTGGTCTCCCATGCGGGTGCAGGGCCCAAGCACTTGGGCCATTCTCCACTGCACTCCCTGGCCACAGCAGAGAGCTGGCCTGGAAGAGGGGCAACCGGGACAGAATCCGGCGCCCCGACCGGGACTAGAACCCGGTGTGCCAGCGCCGTAAGGTGGAGGATTAGCCTAGTGAGCCGTGGCGCCGGCCAAGGTTATCTATTTCTTATAGTTCTGGTGGCTGGGAAGTTGAAAATCACGGTTCCTGGATGAGGGAAGGGCCTTCTTGCAGCATCCTCATATGGGGAAGGTGTGGGAGAAAGAAGGGCTAAATGCTGCAGCGTGAAGACTCTTAAGAGTGCCTTAACCCTATTGACAAGGGAGAAGCCCTCTTGGCCTAATCACATCTTAAAGGCCCCGCCTCTTAAATACTACCACACTGGCAACACTTGAATTTTAGAGGGGGGCACATTCAAACAATAGCAGATGTCAAGGTGAGGATGCTGGATCTGACCTATCAGGTAACTGGAAGTCTTGCAGTTTTTAAGGAAGGCAGCATCAACTAACGGCTCACAGAAACCCCTGCCTGGGACATCAGACGCTGGCATTGCTACTTTCCAGAACAAGACAATGAAGTAGGAAACTGGGAGACTCTTTTGACCAAATAGGTTGTTTTCCACAAGCAGGTAGGCTCCTGGGAGTGTGTCAATAAGGAGTGCGGCAAATTCAGATGCTACACTGGACCCTTACAAGAAAGAAAGAGGAAACTAGAGGAGCTCCCACCCCCACATCTGCACAACACTCCTTCGGGGCTCGTGAATGGAGAACAAAACAAGACTCACGTGAGAAGGCTGTTCTGCAGCAGCCCTGAGGCTTCGAAAGCTGCCGCAGCCTGCCCCAGCGACCCTGGGGGAATACTTTTCCTCTAAGCTCGGCAGCTGATACAGTTCCTTGTCTCCAGGCTACCACGACCCACATTGTGGTCCCGGTGAAAAAGCTCAGCTGGAGACTACTGGAGCTAACAAACTGAACCAGGATCTTGGCTTAAAATACTTTACTATACTTGAAAGTAAACCCCAAAGGGGAAAAACCACTCCTTTGACCTTCACAGAAACCCCTCTGGTCTCCAAAGTGGAGCTCATGTACCCGCCATGGAAATGTAAGATTCCATAAAGGGTGTATGGGGAAAAAACAAAACTTCTCTGCTTTTAAAATATCTTATTCTTTTTTCTGTATTTATGAATATCTCTAAAATTACATAACAATATCGTTGTATACAACTTATAATAAATACACATCTATACTTTTTAGTGGCAAGGGAGCTAATTCTCAAGAGTTGGGAGATGACTGCTATGGACAAATGTTTTCCAACATTTTCAAGTATGAAAGTGCTCCTTTATGTTTTAAAAAATAATCACGTGGCTTTGTCTACTTTGTGATGGCTGTTTTTCAGCACATCCTACTTTAGAAATTTCATGATGACAAAAGTACCATATATTTAATACCAGTAACATTTTGAAATGAATGTGCTTTTATTAATTGCAAGAGCACCTCCTTTTATGTAAAAAAAAAACACACACAGTATATATGCTTAAGACTTTCATTATTGTGTCTCTCATAAAGGAGACTCATAGATTTCTGATTTCCTTCCCTAACTCAAAGTTTCCCACCTTCAGTGCCAACATCTGCTTCTACACCAATTCATTTTTATCTACCTGCCCTCTCAAGCCAAGGACACCAAGCTTCTGGCACGGACAGTACAGCAACAGGGTGGCAGCAAGGTCTGCTGCTGGGGACTCGGAGTCAGAAATTAAAGGAAATAGCGATGGACTGGCAAAATGGGCCCAAAGATTATTTACCCAACATACCAATCATTTTGCTTGTTTGGCTTGAGATTCTGTGATTGATGTCTGTTTACACCAACTCAGGCCAGAGAGAATCCAAGAGCTACCAAGTCTTTGGAGGTTGCTGCTGTCACCTTAGATCATCATCTAGCTTTAAGAAGTTAGTGTAGCACACGGACTAAAAAGAGCAGGTCCAGGTACAAATCCTGGTTTAACCACTAAACAAATCCAAATGGTCTAGATAAGTTACTTAATCTATCCATGCCTCAGTTTATTCACCCATGAACTGGTAATGAAAATGCCTTCTTCTAGCTTATGTAATTGCTGCAAGAATTAATTCAATTCATGAAAGAAAGATTAAATAGTGCCTGAGAGAAATAAGTTTGAAGAAATATATTGATCATCATCTTTATTATGTGGGTCCATTTCTCTTATTGAGTAATTTTATATTTGTTCTTAGTGTGGACATTTTTCCTAATGTTCCTTACAGAATCTGTTTTTTTTTTTTTTTTTTTTAAAGGCTGCATTTTCAAATATAAACCAAAATCAGGCAGGTGTGGGGATTTGGGCAAGTCAGATTACCATTTTGTTTGTTTGTTTGTTTAATCATCTTCTGCTGTTTCTATGCCAGCTCTCTTTACCAACAAGACAGAAAAAGTAGGGTCCATGATATATGCCTCCGTTTCTGGACTTTGAAGAAATCTTGGAACAGAGCCCTGAATAACTGAAAGGTTCCCAG